AATGGTTACAGGTTTTCATGTTTCCTTAAAATATCTTCTTTTGTGTTCAACACAAGAAAGAAAGCAAAACAGGTTTGAAACAAGTAAAGAATGAGAAAATGATGGCGGAATTTTCAGTTTAAGGTGAACTATGCGTTTAGACAAATCAGTTTGTTTTTTATTGTTGAGCCAGCAGGTGGCGCTATTGATCATATTTTTCCAGATCATGTAGTTAACGGGATTTAGCACTCACTCATGAGCATGTTGATGTGTCTATTAAGCGTAGCTCTTTATGTATGTTCAAATGACTGTTCAAAGGTTGCCTGACAAAAAGATATTAAAATTAATAATAAACAAATATGACACAAAATAAAATTAGTAAAACTAGTAGTCTTCTGAGTATTTTTAAATAATGCAACAACTCAACTGAGTGTAAAGCAAAATCATAAATCATAAATCATAAACAGATAAAATAGCATGATACATAAAGATAGCCAGTTCACAGAAAACAGTATTAAATACTATAAAAAATATTATTGGTCACTGTTAACATACTGGCTTTTTCTGTTTAAACTGATTTGGTTTATTGGTTTTGTTTAGAATCTAAAATATAAGCTGAATTCTAAAATACAAACTCGGAATTCTAAAATGTAACCAGAATTCATAAATATAAGCATAATTCTACAACACAAATTTAGAACAGAATAAAATATAAACTCCTAATTCAAAATTATTTACACAGAATTCTGAAACGTAAACACAACATACTGAATAAAAACAGCAATAATAGTTCTAAAGTATAATTGAAAAATACTACCAAATTCTTAAGGAACTCAGTTGAATAAAACGGATACAATAATATTGCATATGATTGTTTTAAACACAAATAATGAGACAACTGCTGTCAATATTGGTATTTTTTAAAATAAAACTCCTGTCACCTAATATCTCAATAAACACAGCTTTTTAAATGTAATTATATATTATTTAATACTTTAAATGGACATGGACTGAGCTTCTGTTAATAATTGTTTTATTACACTTTTTAATGTGTCTTTTTTAGAGTGTAGCTATATTGAAATTTTATAAATTAGACGTTCTTGCTACATGTCGCAGGTTAGGATTTGGGTTAGCTGCATGTAATTATGCATACTTAATTGTAATTACTATTACAAGTACATAAAAGCTTGTGTTAGGGACTAAAGGACACCTTAAAATTAAGTGTTATTTTCATTTTATACAACTAGCCTAAAAGGATGATCACACGACAAATAAGTCATAAATAGAATACTATAAGAAGGTGGAAATAATAATTCAATGTTTACCTGCTGTTTTGTCAATGAAGGTATTGTTGTCTCTTTGCTCAGCTCACCTCTTCATGTCTTCAAATGTCAGTGGTTCGTTCACGTTACACTGACAGTCACATATAATCTTAACCAATGTACACAGTCTGAGTCGATAGGAGCCATGATAATTAGTTCACTCGAGAGATGAACGGTTCAATTCTTTTTCCGGCTTAAACTCATATGATTGGCCCTGTGAGGAACGAATGACTCAGACCCGATAGAGGACTCGAGAGATGAACAGATCAATTCTTTTTCCTTCTCTAAACGCATATGATTGGCCCGTGATGAACGAATGTTTCACACCCGATGGTGGACTCGAGAGATGAATGGATCAATTATTTTTCCTGCTCTAAACACATATGATTGGCTTCTGCCTTTCCGCGATGAACGACTCAAAAGATTTGAAATGAACGATACCACCTGCAAAAATGTGCGCACGCGTGGTTGAATGAATCACTCCTTAAGAGAACTCGTAGTTCCCAAGTCATATCAAAGATTCATTCAAAATGAACGAATCGTTCATGAACGACCCATCACTACCAGACACTTTCTCCGGGGGGGATCCGAGGGGATCCCCAGGCGTTCCCAGGCCAGGACACATTTCGGTCACTTGTATCCGAGATTTTGTCCTTTCCGTCATGGCCCAAAGCTCATGACCAAAGGTGAGAGTAGGAACGTAGATTGATTAGTAAATCGAGAGCTTTGCCTTTTGACTCAGCTTCTTTACCACAATGGACCGGTATATTGATCGCATTACTGCACCTATCTGCCTTGTCAATCTCACGTCCCATCCTTCCCTCACTTGCGAACAAAACCGCAAGATACTTGAACTCCTCCACCTGGGGTAAGGACTTTCCTCCAACCTGGACATGGCAAACCACCTTTTTCCGGTGGAGCACTATGGCCTCGGACTTGGAGGTACTGATTCTCATCTCAGCTGCGTCATACTCGGCAGCGAACCGCCCCAGTGCTTGCTGAAGGTCAGTGTTCGATGAAACCAACACAACAACAACATTGTCTGCGAATAACAGAGATGAAATCCTGTGGTCCCCAATCTGGACCGCCTCCAGCCCAAGGCTGCTCTTTGAAATTCTGTCCATACCAATTCTGAACAGAATTGGTGACAAGGGGCAGCCCTGCCAGAGTCCAACATGCACTGGAAACAAGTCTGACTTATTGCCGGCAATGCGAACCAAACTCCTACTATGATCATACAGGGACAAGACAGAGCCTCTGACCCCATACTCCCACAGCCTCCTCCACAGAATGCCACAAGGGACATGGTCGAATGCCTTCTCCAAGTCCACAAAACACATGTGGACTGGTTGGGCATACTTCCATGAACCCTCGAGTACCCTGGTGAGGGTATAGAGCTGGACCAGTGTACCACAGCTTAGACGAAAACCGCATTGTTCTTCCTGAATCCTAGGTTCAACCATCGGCCGGATCCTCCTCTCCAGTATCCTGGCATAGACTTTCCCCGGGAAGTTGAGTGTGATCCCCCTATAGTTGGAGGACACCCTTCTTAAAAATGGGAACCACCACCACAGGTGAACAGTCCAGAGCAATAATATTTGTATTATATATTAATATGTTCAACACAAACACAATTACTTCAGTAAATAAAGCCTTTATTTGTAACTAGTACATATTATAACAGCAATCCGATTCAATGAAAAGCAAATCAAACGACATGAGATTCATAACAGAAAAATAAGACGTTCTGTTGAGGCAGAGACCTCCAGCAGCATGCAGAGCAACCCCAAACATTCATTCACTCACATGAACTCTTATATACACACAATCTTATTCAGCCTCCATAACTTACAGTTTTGATTTACAAGACCAAAAGAACATAGAAAAATGAAAAGCGTGATCAAATTTCTTAAACACAAGTGTGGTGCGTTTAAAGTAATTTCAAACCACCGTCACTTATTTACACTCAAAATCATGTCTTGTTTTAATACAAGAAAAATACCAAGTCACCCCATCTGGGTGTAGTTTGGTTTCCCAAACACACGAATTGTTTGCTTTGTCAATCATGACCAGTCATGCCTGTAAAGCTCTCCACGTGTAGCAGAGGGATCGTTGTGCTTAGAAGAGCATGATTGAAGAAAGTAAAGTGTCCACGCCTGCTGTAAACTGCCGCTGCCACTAGACGGCGCTGCATTCAAGAGATCACCTGAATAAAGCACTTCACCTAAACCAAACCCAATCCTACCAAACCGCATAGCCTACTGAGTTTTTCAAAGAATAAAATAGATTCATGTAAATATATACACCTTAATCAAAATCAAATCTGCAACGTAAACACATCTGCAAATGCGAGCTGATTGACCTGTAAGATTACTTCATCATGACTAATAAAGCACCTAAACTGAACAAAAGCTAAATATTAGAGACTGAAGATTTTTTAAAAATGGATCCAGTGAACACAGACTACAGATCAGTCGAATGACATGTAAAGCTACTGACAGGCTCATATATAAAAAGCATAGTTCTTGAAATGGAGCGTGCCACTTGCAGAGAAATAAGCTACAAAAGAAAAATACAAAATTAAGATGGAAAAATAGTTTGCTCCAGAATTGTGATCAGGTTGTTCACTGATCTTCTGACAACGAGCACTCAGACAGCGTGCGTTCCCTTCGTTCACGCATGGTCACGTAGTTGAGCAGGTCAATGGCCGTCACCACCCCGAACACCATCTGCCTCATCTTGGGGGATCCGTCACTCATGTCTGCAACATACAAACTACAGTTTAGACATATTGCAGCGACGGCCTGACCTGCATTTAGCACACACACTAAAAAATAATGATTATTTATTGCCATTGATGGTTTCACAAGGAACTTTGAAGTTCTCCTGAGGAAAAAATAAGTTGGGAATCACTGCTTAAATGAATAAAACTTTAAAAAAGGAAACAAAATTTGCTGCAAAAAAAAAAACTCTCTTTGAACCTTTAGTTTTAGGTAATGTGTAAGTAATTTGTAATATACAGCGCATTTATTGTGTATGGCCATACACCCAAAGCACTTCACAATCATTACACTCCAAAAAATGCTTTTCTAACTTAGATTTTTTTGTCTTGTCTCAAGTCCAAATATCTACAAATTCTTAAATCATGAAGGATCTTCTAGACAAGCAAAACATGTTGTCTTGTTTTAAGAAATAATATGCCAAAATGAAGTGAGTTTTGCCTTAAATCAAGCAAAATAATCTGCCAATGGGGTAAGCAAAATAATCTTATCACATATCGAAAAACAAGATTATTTTGCTTACCCCATTGGCAGATTATTTTGCTTGTTTTAAGGTAAAAAAAATCACTTAATATTAGCAAATTATTTCTTAAAACAAGGCAACATGTTTTGCTTGTCTATAAAATTAATCTCGAATTAAGAATTTTTAGATATTTGGACTACAAACGACAAAAATTCGCCTTGATACCGATTCATTAGGTGTTTCGCCATGACGTACGAACGAAACCAAGTTATTCACGTGCACGCGCAAATTTCAAATTTCCGTGCACGGGAGATTTCAAACCTGAGGCCCCGCCCTCTGACGCAGAAACCCAGACACACACACACACCCACAAACACACGCACACCCACAAACACACGCACACAAACATGCCGGTCGACTGAAGTCACACTGCAGATGGATATTATATTGAGTCTCTACCCAAAGGTGAAACATCAGCATTATAACCAAGCAGTTGGAAACTTCTGGAAGCTACATGCTACAAAGAATACTTCATCTGAGTTTGTTAAAGGAAGGATCAGTAAAGAGTAACTGATGGACGTCAGGATGGGTTTCTTCCATTTCTCAAGTGTAAGTACGTGCGGTTAAAGTTGTTGCCTCGTTTACTCTAGCTTGCAAATGTATTTAGTTGTGATTTGTTACTTGTAACCGCGTGTACTGTATCAGGTTAACTGGCTATATTCTCTTATCGCGTGCAAAGTCACGTTAAAAACGCGACGCGTGCTGCTTTGTTTATGGAGCTCCGTGCTAGAGTTCTGCTCCTGCGATTTATTCGGAAATTTATTCCCGCGCTGCAGAAATCTGGCGCGGGGACAGCCGCGGGAATAAATTTCCGAATAAATCGCGGGAGCGGTCGGTAACGGGTTTAATTTGGGACGGGAGCGGGCTGTCTAGCAATATCACGGATATTGCTATGCGAATTAGAAAGAGAGAGTCTGCTTGGTGCTTGTGTGTGTGTTAGTGAGCACGCGCGCGTATGAGAGAGAGCGAGAGAGATAGAGATAGATAGATAGAGAGAGAGAGAGAGAGAACGAGCTTTGTGTGCTTGGTGCTGTGTGTGTGTGTTTATACAGACAGCTTGGCTGTCTGGACTGTATAGCTGGGTGATTTTTGGTTGTGTTCTCCTCCGCTCTAGCGGGATCGGGCGCGGTGGGCAGAAAACGGAGCGGGTTCTCAGGCTAAAACCTGGCGGGTGCGGGCGGAAGCGGGAGCGTTGTCGTCCGGAGGTGTGTGTGTGTTTTTGTGTGTGTGTGGTATGGCAAGTACACGACTGTCTCCTTCGTTCGGTTATCCGTGGCACTATCCACTCGCCATAGTGTGGCAGCTAAAATCCACGCCTACACTATCGAGCGTGTATAAACTGTGATTACTTTTTATATTGCTGATTAGCTATTGGCCATTTCACTCTCTGACTGAAGGCAGTCGACCAATCGCGACAGACTGTCATCGGTCCAATCAGTGGAGATTAGCTTCGCGCTAAGGAGGGGTTTGGGAACAAATGAATCACTGGACGATTCATACGGGAGTCGCTGGAATAATTAGGTAAAAATAAATGCAGATTATAAGACCATGAAAGTGTTTTTTGACCTTGCATGCATATTAGACTGTTGTTGGAGACCCTTAAAACCAAGATATGACCCAATTTCATGTATAATATGGGCTCTTTAAAGACAGTTGTGTGACAATGTATAAACAAATCTAGATTTTAATGGTACAAATTAATTAGGGCTGGCCCACAGGATCAATGCGAGGACATGTTTGTCAATATGGTCTTTCAGGAATCAGTCCCATTCCTCAATGATCACCACAGCATCAGCTCAGGATACACCCTGGTCCAGGATCATGGATACCTTGGCATCATGCTGTCCATTGAAAATGAATGACTTATGGCTACATTGGCGCTCTCACCGATTTAGGTACAAATGCACAGTTAGGGACATCAGAAAGCTAGTGAAGGGTACACTATACTCCATCCACTCCGTCTTTCGGATGAGACGTTAAACCGAGGTCCTGACTCTCATTGGTCATTAAAAGTACCATGGCACTTCTCGTAAAGAGTAGGGGTGTAACCCCGGTGTCCTGGCCCTTACGATCATGGCCTCCCAATCATCCCCATCCACCAAATTGGCTCTATCTCTGTCTCTCCACTCCTCCTATAGCTGGTGTGTGGTGAGCACACTAGTGCCGTTGTCCAGTGGCTGCCGTTGCATCAACAAAGTGGACGCTGCACTTTGGTGGTGGTGTGGAAAGCCCCCCTCTCATGATTGAGAAGCACTTTGGGTGTATGGCCAAACTCAAGAATTGTGTTGATTCAGAAAAAAAAAAAAAGGACAAAAATGGTCAAAAATACACGCACACAAAAAACAAGTCGGGTGTTCTCTATTTGGCTATGTAGGATGCACTGGAAAAAAAAAAAAACATTTTATGTATTCTTATGTAATATTTGTTCACTGTAATGTAATAGGAGCGTTTGGTGTAATGGCCTTGAACAGGCACACAAAGTAGCAATGTTTCTGCCAAAGAGAGCAAAGCTTGGTGATCCGAAGTTCAGGAAAACACGTGTCTGATATCATGAACTGGGGCCGTATTACTTTAAGCTTCATGAATAAAACTGTTGTTCTTGAATAGTGTTGCATTTTGTGTGTAAAGTCTGTAGTACATTTTGTTCAGTACCTGTCATATGATGCAGATAATTGTGTACAATGTTTCTTTGAGAACCTGTATTTAATGTAGTCTTTGATTGTTTTTGGCAGCAGAATGAAGGATGATTTCGAAGTGTTTGATGGGACGGTGAGCCTTTTATGTCATGACGCTTAAACAAATTGCTTAACAACACTTCTAAATGTATTGGTTTCACACCCTCACAAATGTATTTTGGCTGGATATTTGATATTAAAGGGAATATATTATTCTATATATGTATGAATCTCTCTCTCTCTCTCTCTCTCTATATATATATATATATATATATATATATATATATATATATATATATATATATATATATATATATACTAAGGGTGGAGCCGAACCCGAATACGGTATTCGGAAAGGCACGAATAGCGTGTTTTTACGAATACTTATTTCGAACAAATACTTGAAAAAGTATTTGTATTCGGGAGCAAGAAAAGCATTATATCAAGAGAGAGAGAGAGAGAGAGCGGGGCGGAGCGGAGGTAAAAGGTCTCTGGCACACGCTTCTCCACAGCAGCAGACAGAGAAGGCTCGGCTGAGCGAAGAAAATGCTTCTCTGCATCACTATTTTGTACCTTAATTGGGTTCCAGATGCAGTTTATAAACTTGTAGCGGAGTTTGTTCGGGATTTTCCATTACGTTGCATTTTTGAAGTTTGCAATCGGGTGCTCTGTTTACGCAATGTTAGCTCTGTTAGCGCGGTAATTTAGACAATAGACTGTTGACAGAGTAACGTTAACGTTCTTTTATAAAGGTTAAAACGATGCTTTTGCAGTTGTGTCGAATAATATGGGAGTTATATGCACTTATGGGAGTTATATGGTACGTCTAAATAACTTTCTTTTGCAGACAGCAAGATATATGCTATAGGCTAGTTAACCTTAGCATAGCTTCCCGTCACTTTTTATTAACTTGAAACTCCTCAAATACATTTGGGCACCATGAAAAAGAGTGAGACTGCTGCTGAGCCATTTCTTGGTCCTCCACCAGTAAAAAAAAATAAAACTTCATGTTCTTTGTGGAAGCATTTTACAGTCAGTGGAGCTGCAGATAAAACAAAGTGATACTGTATAATGTTTACAAAAGTGAAATCAGCAGAGGCAAAGATATTAAACATCTGTCAACATCTTCTATGCATAATTATTCATTTTCTTTTCGGCTTAGTCCCTTCATCAATCTGGGGTTGCCACGGTGGAATGAACCACCAATTTATCCAGCATATGATTTCGCAGTGGCTGCCCTTCCAGCTGCTACCCAACACTAGGAAATCATCCATACACTCTCTTTCGCACACATACAATAGGGACAATTTAGCTTACCCAATTCACCTATATTGCATGTGTTTGGACTGTGGGGGAAACCGGAGCACCCGGAGGAAACCCACGCCAACATGGGGAAAACCCAGTCGAGGCTCGAACCAGCAACCTTCTGGCTGTGAGGCGACAGTGCTACTCACTGTGCCACCGCGCAACCTTCTATGTAATGTATTATCACATGCACTAAAAGCATCCTCTCCTGATACTGTCTGTGAACCCCCCACAAGCATCAATCCCCTCAATCAGCACAGCTATGCTCTGCTAAATCCTCCACAAGCACCAAACCATCAACACAGCCACATTCTGCCCCAGCAAGTCAGTGTTAAACATAAAAAAAAAAACTTTGTGTCTTTTTTGTGGCAGGCAGATGACAATAGCAGGGCTGTATCTTTTAGTATTATATAGAATACTTTTGTTCTGCCAGATCTCCCGGGCAGGGTTTTATTTAGATTTATTTAGTTAATTTTAGTTTTTGGAATTCTGTCCATTGGAAAAAAGTTCTTTCAGTAGAAGAACAGTTTTTTGAAGTATTATTTGTTTTTATTCTGTCTATTCAGTGTCCTTCAACAAGAACGCTGGTGGTGGGGTTCATAATATTCACAATGGTATTTTATTAGTTGTTGGTTTAACCATGGATGAGATAATGGTTCTGTGTTATTTTCTTTTCAATGACATTTCTTGTCACATGTTCAAAAACAACAGCCAATATTGCATATCTATAATTTATATAATGGGTATAATTAAACAATACTTTCACTATAACGTAAATTAGAAGTGTAATAGAAAAAATATATATTTTTGCGCCATTTTGAATTTTACTCGAATACAAATACAAATACAAATACTTTTCCCCCCTCAACAAATACAAATACAAATACAAATACAAATACCGGCTGCTCCGCACATCCCTAATATATACATATATATATATATATATATATATATATATATATATATATATATATATATATATATATATATATATATATATATATATATATATATATATATATATATATATATCATACTTTAAATGAGATTATGATTTTTCAAAAAATGTGTCAGCATAGTGGCAGATTCAAAAGCAAGACCAGCGTCCTATGCTAATGAGGGTAACATTGTTACTAATTGGTGGGACTTTCAACTTCTGATGTAATGTACAACGATATAATGTCAATCAGAATGCTTCTGCAGACTCTTTTTATCAAGTGTGATTATAAAAATGAAATTGGTCAGATTTTACCATTACGTCCCATTCACACGGGGCATCAGCGTCAACTCATTTTGAATGGATGACGTCAAGCGTTGACGATCTGAACTGTGGGTCTGTCGGCATCGCTTCAGTGGTGGGCTTTGGTGGGACTTTCTCAACTTTTCAAGCGCCAACGGCAACGTCAGCCAACCAGTTCGCTGTATGCAAATACATCAGCTCAGACAGTAGCTGATTGCTGACTAATTCCATTGGCTGACGCTGTTATGACGACCACATCAGACCCAACTTCAGACACACCCTCTGTCAAGCATTGACGGTGAAGCCCCATGTGAATCAGGCATTAGAAGCTGGTTATATTCACAGACTGTTGTCCCACAACTATGTTTAAACCCTTTATAAAAGTGATTTTTACATGTTAGGACCCCTTTAAATCTTTTGAAATGCATGTTTTTAACCAAAGAATACAAACCAGGCCTGATTAACAGGATAATATTGAAAAAGGACATCAGATCAAGAGGAACAATATTTAGGCCAACACAGAATTTTTTTATATTAACTTTAGTAATGTAATTGAATAATATGCTAGTGTTTATATAATTTATGCACAATACGATTTGTAAACAAGTAATATTTTCAGTAGAGGTGTTAACCAACACTGGTCTCATGGTTTCATTTGGTCATGATTATCATGCCATCGATTTGGTTCAATTCGATATCTCGGTGCATCACAGTGCATTGAAGATGAACAATTGATTTACATAAACAATTTTATATTTTACTTCGCAGCACAACAATTTTTGTCTTACAAATAGTATATAAATATAAATATATTTATACATTTTAAAACAGTTTTGTCCTTTGAAACAAGCAGTCAGATATATGAACTTTTAAAAATTTAAGAACATGCACAGAACAACATGAGCATTTAAAGCAAATTAACAAATGTAAATATTATCCCGCTACCTTTCTGAGCATTGTTGAGTGAGTTCTTACAAAGAAATAGCAAAAAAAATAAAATTAAAATAAAAATGTTCTGCAGATTCTGACTAGCCTTAGTTATGGGGAAACATAGATAAAAAAAACAAAAAACAAAAGTGCTGTAATTTATTTATCCCAAACCACCATTGCATGTTTTTTTAATTAACTATTTTCTATCAATAATACATTTTCAAACTGTATTTTATGTCAGTGATGGCAAAGCTTAATTTTCCCATGATTCCAGTCAACAATAATCCTTCAGAAATCATTTTAATATAATAATTTGCATTGTTTTTATAATCCAGGCTTTCTACAGGTTTCATCAAGTTCAATTTAGGACTTTTTAGGACCATTTTAAGACCATAATCAATGACAAAATGACCATAATGAATGACCTTTTATAAGGTCAAGTTAAAACCGTAAAAAAAAAAAAAAAAAAAACATTAAAAACAAATATTATTGTAAGGAAGATAATTAAACCATATTAATGAGTAAACAGAGTTAATAAATAAATCTCTTAAAACTGTTATTAAAATACATTGTTAATGATTGGATGGGTGTTGGCCCAATTGGATATAACTTTACAAGGAAAATTTCCATCCATTTAAAATTAAGACCTACAAAACACTATTTCAGTGGACTTTAGGCCTATTTTTTATTTTTATTTAAAACCTATTTAAGACAATTGAAGATTATATATATGAATGAAAATATTCATGAGATATTAAACAGCCCAGCTAAAATCCAACAATTAAAATTCATTGCATGTGTAAATTAAATCAGCATTTTTGAAAAGTTGCTTATATTCTAAAGCGCAGAAATTAAACAAGGTATCTGCAAAGAACACCGATCAAAATTTAAGATTTAGAGACTTATTTAGAGACTAGAGACTTATTTCTCTCAGATAAGCTGCGGTCACATTAGAGTTTGAGCATGCGATATTCTGTCGTGCGGCGCTGCGAAAAGGGGCAGGATTAAACAAGCTTATTAGACATATTAAAACCGAGCGATTGCTACATGTTTTAAATTTCTGTCCAGAGAGGTCATGTTTTAATCCTCGATTGTTTTCACGCAGTCAAGGGATGCTATTTCGCAGGTCAGAGTTCACCAGCTTGAACTTTGCACCGCAGCAACCTGCGAAACCGGTCTGACGCATTCTCGTGCATATGAATGGGAGTCTATGGGAGAAAAAGCCCAGTGTGGCTGCAGCTTTATTGGTATTCATCTGGCAGCAGATGGTAATCATCTTAATAATCTCTGTTGGTAATTATCTTAATTTTATGACAAACTCTATCCAACAGGCAGTCAAACTTTCCAGTTTCAAGAGACCAAGCAAGATTGCAAGCCATTCTAAAGTGAATAAAACCCTCAACAGCGTGCCCATATTTTCAACCACAAGTGCATTATAATTAAAAGCTGACCACTGTGAATTTTCACCATTTCACGGTCTTATCTACTTGTTAAAATTTATCAAAAAGCAAAACCATTACTATACAAAGTAGCTCCATACAAAGCAGCTTTTAGAAGAAAAGGTGGAAAAGAGTCAAAGAAGTTGACTTACACTGAATCTGTTCGTGCACAACAAGGGCGAAATGATCCGTCTCAAGGATACGTGAGAGTTTGCCAAGGTTATCAGTCAGACGCACCTACAGGGAGAGAAACAAGATGACTATTGAGGGCTCACATTACTTCTGTGACAACTGGTTAAGCAACACTCAGCATGCTGACGTTAATTTGGAAATGTTCAATTAACACTTGATTATTTTTCAAATACTACCTGCTTCTCTATCCAAGCGTCGGAAAACAACACACAAGTCTTTGTTAATATGAATAGACATGTAATTTGCTGGGCGAGGCAGTGGCGCAGTAGGTAGTGCTGTCGCCTCACAGCAAGAAGGTCACTGGGTCACTGAGCCGAGGTTCAAACCAGTGACCAAGTAACCTTCTTGCTGTGAGGCGACAGCACTACCTACTGCGCCACTGCCTCGCCCAGCAAATTACAAAATTGGCGTTTCTGTGTGGAGCTTGCATGTTCTCCCTGCCTTCGCATGGGTTTCCTCCAGGTGCTCTGGTTTCCCCCACAGTCCAAAGACATGCGGTACAGGTGAATTGAGTAAGCTAAAATTGTCCGTAGTGTATGTGTGTGAATGTGTGTGTGGATGTTTCCCAGAGATGGGTTGTGGCTGGAAGGGCATCCACTGCGAAAAAACTTGCTGGATAAGTTGGCGGTTCATTCCGCTGTGGTGACCCCGGATTAATAAATGAACTAAGCAGACAAGAAAATGAATGAATGAATGTATTTGCTCTAAATAAACACGTTCCCAATAGACTTTGCGCATTTGACATTGTTAGTTCAATTGTGTTACAATGTACAATGTTATTTTATTTTCAAATAAGCTCTTATCTGACTACATTTTTAAATATGAGATGGTTTTGAATATTTAAGTGGTTCATGTGACTCAATTCCGATTTTTTTCTCCCATGTGGCACATTCAGAAATGACCCATGTACGTGTAAGCAGAAAAAAAAAAATCACATGGATTCCGATTTACTCAAATCAGATTCAGGCCTTGCTCATATGTAAAAATGTATCCGATATAAATCGGATCTGTGCCCTCGTGTCTTCAGTGTAAGCAGGTAGATCAGATTTTCACCTGCCAATGCGAGTCATGCATCATTAAAACCTGTTGCGAATGACGTCAACTCTGATGCTTTCATTTCAGAATAGACTTCAGCAGAGTTCCAAACCTTAAGTCTCATACAAGGGGACTAAAAAGTTTTTATATTGTCATATAGCATATGTATTTAAGCATGTTAACAAGAGATAGCATAACATCCACCACAAAATAAACTAATATAAAACTGTGGCATACAATACGTGCATAAATCGAGACATGGACATTGCAGTAAAATGCCAACTGGTTTAAAGGCCTAGATTAAAAGAAGATGGCCAAATGACAACTTTTCTGTCATAAACTATAGTAAAACAATGTGTCAAAAAGAATTCCTTAAAATATGAAACCCTGCAAATGGATTAATTAGAGGAATGGAGAAAAGAGTGCACTTTTATTATCAGCTGTCAGTCAGCTCTTACTCTTTTTTTTCCTGGTCATTGCGCATTTGCCATGTGCCATTTAAGCCTAGTTCACACTACAGGATTTTAAGCCTGATTTGAGCCTGATTGAAACATCTGTGATTGGTCAGAATGGGCATCGATGCACTCGCTTCATTCTGCGTTAACACAGACATGAGAGTAGGATATATTACAGTGAAACTAGAATTCTGTAACTATTAGAATTATCATACTGCTCATTCTGACCGTTCTCATATAAAACGCCATATTGTCACAACATATTTACATTCAAAGCTTCTATTGAGATATTAAAATTAAGCTTTGAATGTCTGGCATTATATTTAATGACACCATTACCCTACAAAATATTATCTTTTTTGGAAATACAGCCTATAAATATGTAGTTAAGATACTAGAACACGCAAAGGTCTTGGCTTTCATTTTCACTTTCAAACAGGAGCTATTTTGCGGCACAGAATATGCTGTTTTGAAAGATATCTGAAGTAAATGCATGTTTTTGCCATCAGAAAGTTTTGTTTATGTTAGCAGGAAGTTGCTAGGCAAGAAAATGCACACATATTTAAAGTCACAGCGAAAAGTATCAGACATGCATGCAGTCATTTTGACCAATATGGTAATTTAAGGCAGAAATGCTCAGTTCTTTACTGTTTTGTAATAAAAAAAATAACAATGTCAGAATTAAATACACTGATATTTAGAAAACGGCAGGGTGTTATAGATATATTAGTTTTATTTCAAAGAGTTTTACAATCACAAAAATTAAAAACTCTCTGTGTATCTATCCACGCGAACCTTGCAGATGAGTGATTGATCCGCTGATGCATCAGCTGATTTGACGATGTTTTTAAATGCTTTCTCCAAAGCTTGAAACGCTGTCAGCGATGTAATCAGCAAACAAGCAGCCAATAGTGTTCAGCTTTTTCTGACGACTCCTCCCTCAAAATTTCATTGGCTGTGTTTTTTTAGCTTGAATGAGCTGTTGGGGAATGAGTTGTTGTCAGATCATGTAGTGTGTGACCCCCCTCTTGTGGATCATTCACAGAGTGTTGCGTAGCGTGAACACCACAGCGATTAAAAGACAAAGTCAAGTCATGTAGTGTAAACGGCACAGCGATCTGCTGATGTTTAAAATCCTGTAGTGTGAACTAGGCTTTAAATGCATACAATTGGATACAAGTCACTTTTAAATGATGATGTAAGCAAGTCAGCAAAAATAAATAAATAAATAAATAAATAAATAAATAAATCGGAATTGACCATCAAGATCTGCAGTGTAAATGCAGCCTAAATGTTAAGGTAAAAATCCAAAAAAACAGCATGCTCTTCTGATTTATGAAGGGCTATTTTTAACAAGTTGTGTGAAATCTTTCTCTTGATCCTTCTGTTGTGCGTACAGTACGACAGAAAAAAAAGATAGTGTGTGAATGTGTTATGTGTGCACCCACCTGTTTAAACTGTTTGTAGAGCACTTTGCTTATGGGATCGGATGGTCTGACCTTGCCAGCCAGAACAGACGCGAGCATGTTCCCCAACGTGACCATCCCCAGAATATGCCTACAGGGAGAAAACCAGACACCAGTCAGAGCCACACCTCACTGCACTCAGCATCTGCTTTATCATTCAGGTATTCTGGGGTTAAGGACTTCACACTCTATTAAGCCTCAATCTTGGTATGGAATTTGGAACTTCTCCCTTTCTCCGACACACTCTGGCAATGAGTTCATGAATTAAATCAGATGTACCAGCACTGAGAATCTATTAATATGATCAAAAACTGATAAAAGTTTTGTTCAAAAGGCATTTATTTGTTTTTGAATTGTTCCCTTGAAAGGATATAAATTGATTTCAGTTATGTACGTACACGTCAATATGATTCATTCCAGAATTGCATTTCAGACCTTATTCGATTCATTTTCATTAAACAGGAATGACATACAATTATTCGGCCCCTTTAAATTTGTTGATTTTTTTTTATATTTCCCAAATTATGTTTAACAAAGCAAGGAAATTTTCACAGAATGTCTGATAATATTTTTTCTTCTGGAGAAAGTCTGATTTGTTTTATTTCAACTAGAATAAAAGCAGTTTTTAATTTTTTAAAAACCATTTAAGGACAAAATTATTAGCCGCTTTAAGCTATATATTTTTTTCAGATATTCTACAGAACAAACCATCGTCATACAATAACTTGCCTAATGACCCTAACCTGCCTAGTTAACCTAATTAACCTAGTGAAGCCTTTAAATGTCACTTTAAGCTGTATAGAAGTGTCGTGAAAAAATATCTAGTCAAATATTATTTACTGTCATCATGACAAAGATAAAATAAATCAGTTATTAGAAATGAGTTATTGAAACTATTATGATTAGAAATGTGTTGAAAAAAAATCTCTGTTAAACAGACATTGGGGAAAAAAATAAACAGGGGGGCTAATAATTCTGACATCAACTGTACAATAAAAACGTAAACTTGAATAGAATAAAATTGAATGTAAATTAAAGCAAAATGCTTAAACGTTATGGAGAACATTTTGTTTGCTGTTGATAAATGTGGTTTAAATAATTGTTCCACTTTTTAAACTACTAAAAAAAAGTTGACAATAACAGAGTTTCCATCATTTTGTACCTCAGTTTCAGATGCTAACCTAAAACCAAATACCAGACTGCATGTCTAACAGGGAGTTTATACTATTATTTAAATAGAGTGAATGAGAAAAATATTTGAAAACTCACAATAACCAAGTTGACATATAATTAATGTATTATTGATTTAATATAAATATTTTACGAATTAATGAGAGACAAATTACGAGAATGTCTTTCAGAGTTTCCCAACAGAGGAAATGAAATCATCTGGTGAAAGTCTAATCTAATCTAGTCATGCTAATGTTTATTTAGCTTATAAAAATTAGATTATAATTGAAGCTGAATGCAAGATTGAGGAGGGAAAAACAGTCAAAAAGTATACAAGTAGGTATGTTGGGAATATTAAAATTAATATCTTCAAGACAAAATGTCTCTAAATACACATACAAATACTCTTTGTAGAGAAATCTGATATAATTGTCATATTTAAAATAGAAAGTAACATATTAACTTGCACATTAGCAACAGTTTTTCCCAGGAATAAAATTAAAACAATTATTTTATCCTTAAATATGAGCCATCTTTTGCAATTGTGCGTCAATACCTGTAACTGATCATTCAGAATTTTTTCTAACATTGCAAGGTTATTTCTGTGCAATAGTGATGCGCGGTTATATCCACGGGCGCTGCTGATAATCCGCGAGTCAGGCGAGTTGGGTTATAAAAAATGATTAGGATTAATTGCAAATGGGTGGATGAGATTGATTATTAATGATTATTAATAATTTTTAATGATTTTTGTTTGTATTTTTAAAAAATATTCTGTACAATATGAATGTGTTTTAATGCATTTTACATCATGCAAACAGCACACTAATAAAAAAAAAGGATCTATTAGGCTTTAAGCGTCAAATCTGTGTGATACTGCATTGATACAAGTGATCTGCACTGATATGTGATCACCTCCAGGCCATAAGACCAAAACCTTACAAGGCTTGACAAACTGGTCAAGCTCTGGATGAACTGGTTTCATGTTTAAATGACCTACCCCGCCTCATCCACCACAGGAGCCTGGTCAAAAGCCTTTTCTTTGAGGATCTGAATGGTCTTCTTGATGGAAACCAAGGGAAGCACCGTCAGTGGAGCCGAGAGGCGAAGCTCCTGAAGAGTCAAATTCCACCACCTACAAGAGATGAATGGACATTTACATTAAGTCATTTAGCAGACGCTTTTGTACAAAGAGACTTACAATTGAGGAGGTATTTAGCAATCCAACATGAAGAGGCAATAAACACAAGAACTGCTGATTATACAAAAGAACTGTCAGTGCTTAGAGAATTAGGGGCTGGCAACAGGATTTTTTCCTTTCTTTTTTTTGAGGGAGGGAGAAGATTATAAAAACTTGGTAATCTAAGGGCCTACTCGCACTATGCCATCCGTACCGTGCCCAGGCCCGTTTCCCGGATCGTTTGAGAAGTGTAAGTGCGCTGAATCGGGCTCAAGTACGGTTCACTTGGCCGGCCCTGGCCCGGTTGGAAGAGGTGTGCCTGAGCGCGGTTCACTTGGGCTTTGGCGCGGTACACTTGTGTGTGAGTGCAAAACGCGCCAAAGCCCGAAACTGAAAGCGAGACGTGACTTTTAAGGCACTGTTTCATATGGATTTATTAATCATTCTTACTGTTCAGTGAACGCAAACTGCCGTAGTTTATTAAAGACGCAAACTCCTTACTGCACGACAGCTGCGCGCCTTCAGCAGACCTCCTCATTCCTCAAGCACAAGAGCATTATGATTGTTTTTGAGCGCCAAAAGTGGCGGATCTGTTCGGCGAAACATCTGACTGCGTGTCACGGCATCCCTAAGGACTGTTTGGCAAAATATTTGACTGCATGTCACTGCATAATAAACGACTGAACGATATAACTAGAGAAATCTCCACTGTGCTGCTGAGTGAGAGAGCGCTTCTTACTGAACAACACAGCAGCGATGACGTAAGTGTGCCGAGGCCCATTTGTGGTGTGAGTGCGGGCCGTCGGGGGAGACGGGAGGGGGGACAAGCGTACTTTGGCCCGGTTCGAGGCAACTGTACCTAGTGTGAGTGCAGCCTAAGGCCCTGTTCGCACCTGGTATTGAGATGCATTTTCGTCGATTCGATAACAAGTGGACAAAAGAAACACATTACCATTCACACCTGGCATTTAAAGGGTGCTTTCACTCCAGTAGATTGTCGATTGCTTTGTTCCGAAACAGGGATTAAAATTGTTACAATGTTGCACTTTGTTTTTGGTGCTGTTCACTTTCACACAGCAAAGTTTCTAAACAGATCAAAATAGCTATTCACAGTTTGTTTTGCAGAATCCTGCTCAGCTGTCATGCGTCCTTATATTAATTTATGGCAATTAGCAATAAAACATAATAAGCGAAAAGCTGCGCTTTAATTTTATATAGTGACAACCACAGACGTCATCAACAAATATACGTCATTACAGAAGTAAGACTTTCTTGTACAGAGCTGTTGGCTAGAATTATGCATTGTTAACTTTATATTATATAGAGAAATAACAGATAAACAAAGACTGGTCAATTTTCCTAACAAATAAACAGCACTGTAATATTTTAACATGCCTTCACTTTCGTATTTAAAATGAAACACACATTTAGGTAGGAAAGACATCCCGCCCTACTTATCATTTTCTCTTCATATAGCCCTATACAGGGCTTTACATTTACTTTTTTGATCACCAGCCACTGTGGCTTGTAGATTTCCAACATTACTAGCCACTTTCCCTTTTCACTAGCCACACTTTTGTTGTTTGAAAAATATATTTTATATAAATATATGTGACTTTGACATGCTAAAATGACTTGATTTAGATGTGCTGTCCACATGCCACCTCATTTATTTCACTGTTTGTGTGTGTTGTGTATGAGCTTGCTCACTGTGCATGAGAAAATGAGTTGTGTCACATTGCAATTGTTTTTTATTTCACATGACTTTTTAGGGCACAGAAGGTTTTACCAAATTCCTCTCTAACCATACCAAAATGAAATAATTATTTCTTTGCCACATATTTAAATGTGTCAAAACAAGCAAATATATAGCTGAATACACGCATTTTATCAAACAAAACTTTTTTTTAATTAACATTTAAAAAAATCTATTGTCATGCATCTAAAATATGCACAGTAATCTGTCCTGGCTAAAGATCCCAGATCAGCAGTTAACTACATAAATGGGGAGTTAATCTCATATTCAAGCAATGTTATTGTAAAGGATGATAATTAAACTATATAAACAAAAAAGAAAAAATTAATAACTGTAAGCAAAAGAAAGCAGGTAAAAACATACCACGAGAGATAATGAAAGGATGATCACGTGCCTGAGAATAATTAAAACGAAAGCAGTGACTGCTGCTGATGCTTGCAAATATGTATATTTTTCAACCTTGAGCTCTAAAAAGCAGCAGGACTGTGGGTACACGAGCATCGTTTTTTGTCTAGTCATTTTCAAAGAGAACCGATCGCAAGTAAACGAAAAAAAAAGGTGCAAGTAAACGGGAGCGCGCACGCTTTTAACAGTCACACGCATCACATCACCTGTGCGCGCCCGAGTAATCATCCTCTCATTAGGTATTCACCTGCTTTGTCTCGCGTGAACACAGTTGTTGTTTTCAGTCGTGCTGTTTCCCGATTCTAAGATCACATTTGCACTCATATTGGGCTATCCTTATTGTCGAACCCTGCTTTATGAAAACTACAATGTAAAAATTACTTCCAACCTGCCAAAGTGGCTAGTGGGAGCGGCTGTCTAACCCGCCAAAGCTGAAATCTACCCGCATTTGGCGGGTGTTAATGTAAAGCCCTGGCCATATATATATATATATATATATATATATATATATATATATATATATATATATATATATAGTTATTACATATCCATAATACACTGTGATACAGCCTGGTTTGGTTCATTTTGCTTTATCACAACAATTGATCCGCTCCAGAATTATTTTCAATCGAGTCAAGACCACCTCCTTCAGGTGAAGTCGGACTGCAGGATTCACATGTGCCAAATGAACTACGCTAACTAGGAAACGCGCCAGGTTCCGGAACAAAAGTCTAGGTGTGAAAGCACCCTAAATGCGTCTCTTTTGCCCATTTCCACTTTCACTTTTTATAATTTACAAAAATCTAAATCAAAAGTACAAGTACCAGTTAGTTCATGTACTGACTAATGAGTTTTAGATAATGTAATTATTATATCTTTTTACAGATTTTAGTTCCAATCAACACCAAATTAGGCCCAGAGCAAACACTTTGTTCTGTTTTACAGTTTTAACATGTAGGCTATATATATACTACTGTTATGTAGAGGTCGGTAGTAACAAATTACATTTACTTGAGTAAAATTGTTGGGTACTTTTAAACAAATTTAAAGATGTGTACTCTCTCACTAAAGTAATTTTTATGCTACTGTATAAAATAAACCTGATTAAATGTTCACAAACCAGCACTACTGTTTGTGTGATTGAAGCATCCTTGTTTATAGTTGGTACTAATTCTGCATAATGAAACAATCTAACATTGCAATATTTTGTTTTGCAGCAATATTTATTGTGATATGAATCTAAAATGACCAGATGATTTTTAATAGCTCTATTTGAAAAGATTTCATTGGTTTAGGTCAACTGGGATAATTAAATATTTTTCTATGCAGTGCATTAGCATAAAATATTACAAACTAAATGTATATATAAATACAAAAGAGCAAAAAAATAATAATAATAATTCAATAAATAAACAGTGATTTGTGGTTTTCTGAGAAGAGTAAAAGTAATCAAGGACAATGAAATGTAAAGTAATAAGATCACTGTAAAAATAATTTAAAAAATCTTTCAATTAAATCTTTAATAAATAATCAAATTGTGTGATACGACTACTGAGGATACACACATTGCACATTGTTCAGCCCTTATTGACACTATGCAGCTTTTGTAACTCCAGAGGTTATGAATCACATATTGATTTTAATGTCTTTCTCTATTACAAACATGAACCATTTTATTTTTGTAAAACTCATTCTTGAGGTGCAGCTGATCACAGAGAGTTAGAGCAGATCTTTCCCAGATCCCAGTTTCTTTGCAAATCCTGTCTGGTGCTTGTTAATCAATTTGGTGGGTGGAGAAAACCCCACTCCCACGTCACGTTGCAGTGGGCCTCAAAATCAATACGATTTCTATCTTATTTTAATGTCAGGAACTTTAAAAAAAAAAAGACTTGCTGTGTTTATATCACTCCAATATGACTGTGGACACACTATATCTACACGCAGCTCTGTCCAAATCAAAGCAGCCCTTTAATACCAGGCAATCAGGGCCAAAGAGAGTACACAGCACTCCTCATTTAGAAGGGTAATCGTAGCGGTAATGCAGTGGAGTGTATTAATGGATGCAGACTGCGGAGACTGTGTTTGCAGATGGTATCAGTGTAAACAAACGTGCTTCCAAAGAAAGCCTGCGTACGTGAGCAAGTCACACACTCACCATGGCTTATTGACAACAAGATCCTCCTCGCTCATGAAGCCTTTTTCAAACATCCACTTGTCACTGAGGAATTTAGACCTGGGGGCAAAAAAAAAGGCAATCAGGACAAATCTTTTGATAGCATTTCATATGTTATGCAATGAAGAAGGGTATAAAACACAAACTAAAAAGCATTGTGCATGTTTTACCAGGCATTCAAATTCTGCTTATCATTATTTTTATTATTTTAAACAGTCATAACTTAGCATCTATCAGCAATATTTTTTTAACCATATTGCACCTAATCAGTATGGATCTCTGGATGGATGGATGGATGAATGAATGTGGGAAAAATTTACTACATTTTAAATCCTTTAAAAATAAATCAAAAATCAATAAAATGATTTTTTTGCCTTGTGTGATTTTTTTGTTGGTCAGATTTTTTACTTTTGATAGATTTTAGATTCAATTCTCGCTATTATTAATACAACTATTAATTCTAACATTTAGTTCAATCAACTCCTAATTTGCTGCTTATTGATAGTTATTAAGTAGTAGGTGGGTTTAGGTAACGGACAGGATTTGTGCAATAAGAACACGCAGAATATCTACTTTATAAGTACTAAAGAACAGCCAATACGCTAATAATATGCATGCTAATAAACAACTAATAAATAGTGAGACTTAGTCACTATACTAAAGTTTTACAGATTTTGTTGGAAATCTTTGCGATTTCATAATCACATATACCCATATAGCCAGAAAGAATAAACTGAATTTAACTGAGCTTCACAAAAGTCCACATTTACGAATCCTGCATAGTTCTTTATAACAAAATAATTTTTAACATTTTTATTCTTAATACATTTGACTTAAATTCTTACTTTTGCATAAAAGTGAATGTATAGGTGCCCAAATGCATACAAATAAGAACTTCTTCATTTCTTAGTGTGCAGGGCATTTAAATAATCTAAAGAACATTACACTACAAAGCAATATTTTATGGAATGTTATAGTTCTATGGATGTAAAGGTTTTTCATGGAACCATCAATGCCAATAGAGAAGCTTTAATCTTAAACATGCTGTAGGTTAAGTGAAGAATCCTTTATATCCACAGATACTTTCATCGTATCCCTTTTTAGAATCTTATTTTTTTGAAGTATAGCAATTCATGGTCGCCATCTTATAGTGCAGCTAAATAATAGCCAGTGCTTCCCCTACCATAATATAAGGGGGGCGCCCTGCCCTCCCAGCGGCTTTCCTCGCCCCCCTTGAAGTCAAGTTAATTGTATATTATAGCACCAGATCACATCTTTTTTTAATAAACAAGCTAAATAGCAGTGACATGATAGCTATAGTTCAGGGGTCACCAATCTCGGACCTGGAGGTCCGGTGCCAAGCAGGGTTTAGCTCCTACTTGCCTCACCTGCCACCTGCCTGGGTGTTTTAAATATACCTAGTAATTAGCTTGTTTAGGTGTGTTTTTATTAGGATTGTAGCTAAAATCTGCAGGACACCGGACCTCCAGGAACAAGTTTGGTGATCCCTGCTATAGTTTAACTTTTACAAATTACATTATGTATTATTTTGTAGCCATGACCAAACTTAGCTTGCATCAAGGCAGATTCTCAACACTAGTTGCAGTGTTCATTTAGTTAATGAAAATGTCTTGACAGAAACACAAACAGCAAAAATGTGTATCTTACTTAGATTTTTTTTGTCGTGTTTCTAGTCCAAATTTGAGAAACATTTTCTACACAAGCAAAACATATAGTCTGATTTAAAAAAAATAATATGCCAAAATGAAGTGAGTTTTTCCTTAAAACAAGCAAAATAATCTTCCAACGGGGTGAGCAAAATAATCTTATGTCAGAGAAAAATCCAAGCTTAGTTTGCTTACCCCATTGGCAGATTATTTTGCTTGTTTAAAGGAAAAAAGTCACTTAATTTTGACATATTATGTCAAGACAATGTTTTTACTTGTCGAGAAAATGCTTCTCGATTTAGGAATTTTTAGATATTTGGACTACAAACAATATAAAAACTCAAATAACTAATTTTAGTAGCATTTAAATGTGTGTATTCCCATACGGACATCAAATTGTATGCACAATTCTGCAAATAATAATAAAAATGCATCTGTTTGACAACTTTTTAATCTAATCTTTTTTCTTAAACAATAATATGCTGTTTATTCATAAGATAAGCAGATCAGATCATGTGCATTGATAGTTTCCAGTCACGGACAAATCATGTTTTAGTTTGTGTCAAGTTATAACCAACATTTTTCACCCTTATTTCCGTTGACGAAATGAACACTGACTGGTAGAATGCAGTTCTAAACATACCTCTAATCCAGGCTTAAGTCAAAAGCATCACAACAGCATTGTTGTTGCTTAATCTAGCAGGCAATACAAAACACACATTCACACCACAGCTAAGAACACTGGGAACAGAGGGAAACCCACATGTAGTTGCGGATGGAGTCGGGTAGAATGACAACACAGCGCTGGCCTTCCTTCAGCTCTTTGGCTACGTTGACTGCTGCAGACATGGCTGTGCCAGAACTACCACCTTCACAGAGAAAATAGTTTAGGAAAACACTTAATTTCACTTCATTTCAGAGATGCACTGTGATTGACATACCGCACAGAAGACCCTCCTCTCTGATGAGCATACGAGACATGGCGAAGGACTCCTCATCATTGGACTTGTACCAATTATCCACCACCTGAAACATGTCAAATGTTATTTAATAAATAGATAAATGGAAATACTGTCTTGTTTGGCTGCAATCAAATACACAGTTAACAGAAAAATGAGAATTGTCATCATTTACTTTGCCAAGACATGTTCCAACCTATAGTCAACATTTGAAGCGGATCAAAAGTTTTCTAAAATTTTCCAAAGACAAGAATGGGGGTTGATTTTGGACAACTTTGATGGCCACTTAAATTTTTGACTACTGTAGTTTGAGTGAGCACAAAACACATCACAGACATTACCTTTTCAACAGACCAGAAAAAAAAAAATCAAACTAGGTTTGGAACAGGTCAATGATAAGTAAATGATCACAGAATTTTCATTTTTGGTGAACTATAACTTCAACTAGGACTCAAAAAACGTTTATTATTAAACAAGCGTCCACTTTCAAACCCTTCCAGAGGTTGTCCATAAACACATACATGCAGATTTCTTTCATAGTGTAAATGCTCATGTGGTTGCATGCATTCAAACAGTCACCTAAGATCATCTGCTCATCTAAGCCATCATCATTAATATCCAAAATATAGTGTAAAGTGGTACAAAACAAGATAATCATACTTTTCTGTATTATACCAAAGCACTTAAATTGGTTTCCTGTTCACTCTTTCTTGTGGCAACTACTATGAAGCTAGAATGTTTTAAGGGAGAGGGGGGGGGGGGTCTTTGTAAAGAGCTACCATCAGTAATTGATTATGTAAAAGTCCACTGTGCAAATGCACACTTACAGATCTGTCCAGAACAGTGGGGATGAAATCATACCCGATGCCTTCAACCTCATACTGAGTCTTATCTGTCTTATTCAACTCGTCTGGCTCAGCTAGAATAGAGCCCTCCGGATCCACTCCAATGATCTGAAGAATAAAAAAAGAAATTAAAAATCTCATTAATAATGCAAAGCAAGGGTCTTCACAAAGTAATAATTATTAAGAGATGTGGTGTACTGATTTTAATCTAGGAAAGGAAACTCATTTACAATAATTGATCATTTTGTACCACACAAAATAAAAAAGTAAACAGATTAGAATAATTATAATGATATTTAATAATTTAACAGCATAAATAAGATTTGATATAAATCAAATCAAATAATTACATTAAATTCTGAAACTGAAGAAAACACACTGATTGACTACTATACCATTGTTTATGAAGCAATTTAAGACTCACCTTGATATCAGGGCATTTCTCCTTTAGCTTGCGAGCGATGCCAGTGATGGTGCCACCAGTGCCAGCTCCTGCCACCAGCATGTCTATTTTACCTATAGAAGGCAAACACAAAAATCAGCATTAGTCATATGCGAGCGATTCATGTCCTTTGGCTCAAAGGCATGATTAGATGATCAACATATTTGAAGCAAAAAAAAATGAAATACAAAATTAAAATATGAACTCGTTTGTTTGTTGTTGCGGTTTTGTAATTCAGAGTTTGATTTAAGATGAAGATCACCCACCAAGTAGTTTTGGGTTTACATGTCTAATAGACATCTAGAACAAGGCTAAATTACCAGACTAAAACATGGCTCAATTATGGACAGCAGTCAAATAAATAGACTAGTCATAAAAACAGACTGATTGTACAGACTACACATGTTGTCATTCATTCATGTCTATTTGATGACTAGTCTATTTTTGGACAATTTTCCAAAAAAATGTGTGTGCACATCTAATAAACACAAAACAATGCTTGCATATGTCTTAATTTAAACGTCTAAATCAATAAAAATGAAGCAACACTATAGAATCAATACCACAAGACAATAAAAAAATCACTTTTTGAGCTCCTACACTATGATTGCATTATTCATATTGTAATGCTTATGTGTTAGCAGTAGGGTTGGGCATCTAAGCTATAATGCCGATCCGATACGCATCTCGATACAAAGAATACGATCCGATATATTAGCGATACATTTGTGACATATTGCGATGCGACACGATACGATTCACACCCATATCACGATACAATGCGATAATTCAGCACTAACTAATTAAATCAAGTTTATGAGATGATGTGAAAGAGGATGCTGTGCCATTGAATGAGTTTGATTATTTATTAACCAAGCAAAACCAAGACTTTTTTTACAAACTGGCTTTTCTCTCAGAGCCAGAGTGTCAGTTTACAGTAGAGGGCCATTTTAGAACCTATAGCACATATTAAAGTATTTTCAAGAAAAACAGAATGTATAAGTGCAATATATATTAAAATATATATATTTGCACTCTTTCAACATAAAGGTTGAGCATTGCACAACAAGAATTGTGATTTAACTTTTCAACTATGAAAACAAGTTTTACAAAGATATATTTTGCCACTGAATATTCAAAACTTAAGGTCGTGAACTAGCAGTGTTATGCTGCGTTGAAACATCACTGTCACTGTAAACAACAGGCTAATAAAAATATAACAAACCAGCAATCTTCTTGCTGTGAGGTGGTCAAACTACCCACTGTGCCACCGTGACACCCATTATTTTTATCATTATCATTATTAATAATATTATTATTATTATAATTAAATAAAAATTAACAGGAGGAGGTGTTTAAACCCGCCTAGTGCGGCAGTATAGAGAGGGCGGCGTCCGCAACACCCAGTTATATCCGCGCATAGGGTGGCAGAATAGAGGTCCGCGACACCCGCGCGTCCTCAGTTATATCCGCGCATAGGGCGGCAGAATAGAGGTCCGCGACACATCACTTCATTTTCATAACCGGTCACTTTCGTTTTCACATTGTGTACCTGATACACTGAGTTGTAGTGTAAGTGTACACATCCGCAAATCCGTTGCTAAGGCTTATTATATGTAGGTCGATTAAATTATGCGCCAAAAACAGGTTGACAACACTTGTTAATAAATAAAAAATACATTCTATATTAAAAATATAAGCTGTACCTCGGAAAAACCGATGCATCTCGCAAAAACCGATGCATCTCGATTTGCTTCCAAAATTTCATTCATCCTCTGCTGCTCAACCGATGCACTCGCATCGTGCACGCGCATGACCGCGTATCGATACATATCGGTTAATCTTCACTTCCCTAGTTAGCAGCTATCAAAAAGGACAATTTGTATTCCAACAACATCATTTTCCTGTCTTTGTAGTTGTGAACTTCTTACATCTCGCAAAACTTAAACGATCTTTAAAATAATGAATACCCTTGGAGTGAACAAATTTATTAAAAATCTTTGGCTTTCTTCTTGAAAAACAACTGTTGAAAGGAAACAATAAACTTTTATGAAAAGTATCCACACAGCTACATAACTTAGACAAAGCGAACAACACAATGGAGATTTACCGCCACACTGCTCCAGGATCTCCTCTGCAGTGGTGTCATAGTGGGCCAGGGGGTTACTGGGATTGCGGTACTGGTCAAGAATGTGAGCATTAGGAATCTCATTCTTCAAACGCCACGCGACCCCCACATGAGACTCAGGAGAGTCGAAGCGGGCTGAGGTTGGGGTACGAACAATCTCAGCACCCAGAGCACGGAGCACATCCACCTGAGAGATCACAAAACACAGGACTATGAAAACACACATTCACACACAACGCAAACATTGGCAGAAGGACTGCTGCAGAATCGGGAGGATTTAGGGGCCGTTCATACAAAATGTATGTATGCATTCCACTGTGCTACTTGCATTTTTTGTTCGTGTAATCACACATTGAGTCGCTTAAAAGAAAAAACTTAAAAATAAAAATCTATAAATCTCTCTTTCAGTTTTGTTTCACATCTTTAAACTCCACTTAAAGTCCCACAGAGTTAAACGATTGAATTTTATGATTTTTGAACCTGTTTAGCTGATCTATGGGTCTGGCGGGAGAACTTTTAGATTAGCTTAGCATACATAGTTGTATTAGATTTGACCAATAGCATCTTCCTCAAAAACTTTAACTTTAGATAACTTTTCTATTGAAAGCTTGACTCTTGTGTAGCTACATTATGTTCCAAGACACACAGTTAAGGAAAAGTTGCTATTTTCAAGGCTGATATGGCAGGGAAATATACTCTCATTCTGACAAATATATCAGGGGGCTTTGGTGCTATGCTTTCAGCAGGCGCAATGATATTACGTAGCACTGTTACCTAGTTACCTAGCTAGGGACTATTTTCAGGAACTGTATAATATCATTGCACCTGCAACAGCCATGGTACAGCAGTAAAGTTCATTGGTTATTGAATTTTTGTAGAAGATGCTAATGGTCTAATCAGAATTAATGACTTATGCTAAGCTAAGCTAAAAGAGCTCCAGCCAGACCGAGGGATTCGCTGAACGGACTCAAAAATGGTAAATCTCAACTGTTTGATTTTAATTTCCAAAACGTGGAGTGTTCCTTTAAATGCAAAAATGCATCTTCTTTGAATTTTCACCTATGACCACATCATATTAATCTATTAATCATCATAATCTCACCTTTTCCATGCTCATCTTTTCAGGCATGACAATAATGCAGCGATAACCTTTGACCGCTGCTGCCAGAGCAAGACCGATACCTGAAAAAACACACGTAGGAGTCACCATTTCAAATGATCATTGTTTGTTTTTGTTTTTTAGTGGCACACAAGTTGGCACATGCCATGTTTATCTGGTCCAACAGCATTCCAGCTTCTGAGTTAAATAAATAGAGCAAAGGCCCTTTCTCAACATGGCAAAGCTAAGAACACCCAAACCTTGCTTTCATGACAGATATTACAATAAAAAAATGAGAATTAACATTATGATGCATGCACCAACCTGTGTTTCCTGATGTAGGCTCAATGATGGTGTCTCCAGGTTTAAGGGTGCCATCACGTTCAGCATCTTCTATCATTCGCAAGCTGATTCTGTCCTTCACACTGCCACCAGCATTGAAGAACTCGCATTTAGCCACTGGAAAATAAATAAAAATAAATAAGCGCCTTAAAGAACCGCACTTCATGATTTAGTCAAAAACGATGTGATCCTGGATTAACATCCATGTTGATCCTGGAACATATTTTTTGTTGGAAAATGTAATTCATACTTATTCCTTACCCCAAAACCCAACTAAATTATTCTTTAAATCAGAGGGGAATGATAGTTGGATGACAATCATGTAGAAGTGCGTAAACCTAACCATAAGCTTAAACTTAACATAAATGGTAAGCATATCTCTTAATTCTGATTGGCTGACTGGAATCTTGACAGGATCAACACAGATGTAAATTCAGGAACATGTCCTACTTGGGAAAATCAGATTGGCTTTAAAGAAACACTTTATAAGTTTAAAAATTAGATAATTTTACAAGTCACCAAGATTTAAACAGTTTTGAGCAATTTTTTAAAAACATTCAGACAACCTCTGGATCTGGCAGCAGAACATTTAGCTTAGCTTAGCATAAATTATTGGACTAGATTAGACAATTAGCATCTTGTGAAAAAAATCTACATAACTGAGAGTATAGTTCCCAGCCATTTCGACCTAGAAAATAGCAACTTTTCATTTAACATCCATCTTAGTACACAATATTTTTTAGATACTAATGTTCTAATCGGATTCAACAATTTATGCTAAGCTAAGCTAAATTGTTCAACAGTTGTATAATGAGCTCATTTAAATAAAAAAGACGAAGAGTTCCTTTAACCAAACCACCTTATCTCATTTTTAAATGTCAATTATAAAAACTACAAATTTTGATTAAGATTAATACAAACATGAATGGGGTAAGAACAAATTTGATTAATGTGAACATCCAGTAATGTGCTGTGCGTGACTGCTAAGGAGCCTCAAACTGACAATTTTTTACATTAATAATTTACAATTCCAATTCATTTAAAACAGTCATGTAAATACAGTCATCAAACTACATTTATAAAAAGTCCAAGCTTTCCTGAAGGAAATACAATTTTGATTACAGGTCGTAATAACACAAATACACTCTCAAAGAACACACTACTGGCAATACATTTGCGTTTTCACCCAGATGGCACTGTTCATTCTTTGCCTGTGTGAATTATCTGTAGACCAAATTCACACAGTAAACCCTGTAAGCCTTTTACTGTACTGTAACCCTGATCCCTCCACTCCAGCCCAAACACACAATCACACATGCAAATATGTGAAATATGCACCAACCTAGATGCAATTAGTCAGCTAATTCCACATGTGTAATGCCAAGACCCGTTGGCTCAACTGGCCAAAAGGGTAATCTTGTTCACATGAATTTGCTAGACACTTTGAATCCCCATTATAAAGCTCATTACAGCATTGAGAATCAAAAGGCTTTGACTTCCACACAATACCACTTTCAAACAGCGCTTATTAGACTAAAGAAGGGGCTTAGCTAAAGACCCACCACACTTTTGACCCACACGGCTAAACTCGTTCACCTTTCGCAAATAGACTGCAGCCATTTTGTGAGTCTTAGTTTGCGGAAGCATGCATGGAGCTTTGGTTTCGGTTCTTGGGCACATTGCTATTGTACTGAATATGCTAATGTTTCAAATCAAAACACATAGCCGCCACATGGATAAGTTTGTGCAACATAAAACGCCCAATGCATTCCTCTTCCTAAAGAACTGCTCAGGGCTATTTTGATGGCCTGGTTTATTTTCTGAGGATAGCAGAACAGACGGTTGAAATGCTGATCTAAAGATGTCTGAGAGGTCTTTTGGGAAGCAGTTGAAGCATTTTTAAAGCAAGGGTATTTTAGTAAATGAAAACTAAATCCAAGACTAAAGTAATAGTTCAAATAATATTTTTATTAACTGAAATATATGTCTTTTAAAAGTCACAAAATGTGAAAATATGTTAATCTACACAAAAATTACAACACTTACAAAAAACTGAAATTAAATAAATTAATGATAAGCAAAAATAAATGATAATTTCGAGTTTCATAAGCACTCACTCTGTTGTGGAAAGTCTAACCTGCGGATGTTTAGAGAAGTACCAGTAGATGGCACTTTTACAGCTAATCACACCATTCATGTGCATGATCATACACACAAACACAAATTCTTAAATTTTAAAAGTGTTCTTTAATTAAAAAGTAAATGTACATATACATATAAAACTACAAATACAGTCTGATCGTTAATTTGAAGGAAGTCGTCTGAATTCTTTGCAATTTTTACTTTTATTTATTGCATTTGTATGGTTTTGGATTTAGTTTGTTCAAAGAGTCATTTTATTTTTTATTACTAAGAGGTTTGTATAAAAGTTAATGTAAGCTGTGCAAACATTAAACTTTGCTTTGGTCGATGCTTGTCATGTTCTGTTAAACAAGAATTACTAAAACTAAAATTGAAACTAAAGAAACTACGTAGAAATGTTTTCACAAAAAAACATTTCTAAAAACAAAAATATCTAAAACTACAACTAAAACAAAATTTAAATGAACTGCAAATAAGAAAATAGTATCGAAATAAAAACCCATTAAAAAATGCCTTGTTAGACAAAGTTAGCCTTGTTTTTCAAAGTAGTTTCACCAAAACTTGTGCCAAAAACATTCAAGGTCATAGCAACGCAATCACCACCTTTTTTCAGAGCAGATAATGTTCCAGTGTTGCGTGAGTCTATTGAACCAAATAACAACAAACATTTCAATCTGTGTTTGCTAACAGTCCAATGTATAATTATAAAGTAGCTTTAGTGTTTTCAAATCACAAAATACAGTTTCACTAATACCAATTCTTTCTAAAAGAAACATTCGCTTTTCGGCTTAGTCCCTTTATTAATCTGGGGTCGCCACAGCAGAATGAACCACCAACTTACCCAGCATATGTTTTACGCAGCGGATGCCCTTCCAGCTGCAACCCATCTCTGGGAAACATCCATACACACTCATACACTAGCCTACCCAATTCACCTGTACCGCATGTCTTTGGACTGTGGGGGAAACCGGAGCACCGGCAGGAAACCCACGCGAACGCAGGAAGAACATGCAAACACAGAAATGCCAATTGACCCAGCCAAGGCTCAAACCAGCGACCTTCTTGCAGTGAGGTGACAGCTCTACCTACTGTGCCACTGCGTCGACTCTAAAATAATCAACCAAATTTAATAAATAATTTGAATAAATTATTCAGTAAATCACTCATTTAAAAAAATAGGGGTGGATAAAAAAAGATTCATATAGAAATACGGTTTAACCTTATAGTAAATCACATTGAGTTTCACAAAAGAAATAGTTTTTAATGTAATAAAAAAGGTGGAAGTCAACCATCAAAATAAAACTATGGTTTAATGAAATGGAGCAGACTTTGTTCTGAATCTCAGTTAAGAAACAAAAATCACAGTAGGTAAAAAATGTATATCTTTAAAGTAGTCCAAATTAAGTTCCTAGCAATGACATAAATCAAAAATTGAGTTTTGATATGCTTAAAGTAGGAAGAGTGTGATCTTTACCTAATATTCTAACTTTGGAAAGAAAAGAAAAAGACTGGCTATTGGCTATTGCCAAAAATATACATGTGCAACATAAGACCAGAGTCCAGGGTCACAAATAACTATAGCATGGTGTACATACATACATAGCATAGCAGTTTTTAAATAATACAATAAATAAACAAGAAACAACAATTACTGACTAGACTTAGAAGTTTTAGTGTTACAGTTCTAGTTTATGGTGTTGACAAAAAAAGAGAGAGAAGTCTTTAACCATTCATTGAATACTATGTTGATTTGGTGCTTTGCTGAGAATATCTGTTTCACTGTAAATGATGTACTAAATTAGCTATGGGCCACTGAAACCGTTAGCACACACACACACACACACAAACACACACACAAGCACGCACGCACACACAACAAAAAGGTATCGATTAAAATACCTTTAAAGTTCAAGTGATGGAAAATGTGCCTTTCTTTTAGCAATATCTCCCTTAAACTCCACAGATTAGTAAAGCTTCAAGGAACTACCAGGAGTCATTCTTCAAACTCTGCAGGAAAAGAAAAACTAATACTGTGGTTACTTCTTTTCGTCAAGAACGTGGCTTTTAGTGAGACATGTTCTACATGCGTGTTCTGTGAATGGAATCAGAACGTGCTATACGTGTCATGTCAGTGTCATGTGATCCACAGTGTCAGTGGCCATTCATAACATTTCTCCCATGGACACAGGATAGTAAACTGAATAAAGGGTACCCCCGGGTTCCTCCAAATGAAATTCAAGGCTTTTTAAGACCTTTTTAATACTATTTCAAATGAAATTCAACGCCAACTTCATACCCAGAAGTATGAGGGGAAGTATGAGGGGAAAAATCTTAAAATCTGTATAAAGATTGAACCCTAGAAAAGAATTATGTACAAGTAGGTATCTTTTATTGCAATTATCAGTTATATCTAATACATACGCAACAGCATGGTCGTCCACCCAGAACCGAATATGAAGGTCCAACTGAAGGCCAAACATGACCACAAACCCGTTCGCCTCATTGACCTGGTCAGTCTGTCTTTAGTTATAAAAGAAGCCAATTCGAATTTGGTAATATATGCAGATTTGTTGCCTCCACACGAGAATGTAAAAGCAACCTCAGAGTCAGGAAACACCGTTTTGAAAACCTCTGTAATGTTCTCATTCGATGTCTAAAAGTGGTGCTCAGAGATTGTTTTAAGGACCCACATCACCTCTGCCCGCAGAGTTGGTGTTAAGCTACAGTAAGTTACGATGTTCCTGGCTGTGGTGTGAATGCTTCTAATGTAGAAATTTCTTCATTACTGATATCCAAAGCCGTTTCAGTAACCGAAAAGGTCTCCGGTCCACAGAACTGCCCAATAGGTGGTTGGCACTGATGAGCAGTCCTACACAGGCCCGGCCCAAAACAATTTGGCCCCCTAGGCAAGATTTCAGGTGGCGCCCCGTCACATCGCAGTAAATTCCACTGCTAGTGTATAGTCATAAGAAACT